TTATATTTCTAATCAGTAAATACTAGTAAAGTTGAAAGTACAAATCACCTTGCCAAGTTATATTATTGTCTCTAGTATATATTTATTAGATTCTCTGGGATTTTCACCTCATTTTAAAATAAAGATGACTGTTTTTTCGTTTCCAATGTTTATACCAATCATTTTATTTTCTTGTCCTAATTGCATACTAGAACCTTCCAAACAATTATGAAAAAGAGTGGTAACAAGAGAAATTTCTAAAGGTTTCTGTTTTAAGAATTGGCCACTACATTTCTTTATTTAGTGTAATATTTAGATGTTGGATTAGGTGAAAAATTTTCATTATATTTAAAGCACCCTTTTCTATTTTAATGGCTGCTCAGTTTTATAAAATGCTTTTTATTTTTTTCAAATAGAATGATACAATAATATGGTTTTTAATTTTTTTTCTAATTTAAAAACCTCTGTTAATGTTCTAATATAGAAATATCTTTGCACTTCTGGAATAAATTCAATTTGTTGCAGTACCTTATCAGCATTTATATTTAACTATAAGTTTTACTCGCTTTGCTTGCTTTTCATTCTGCATCTCCTGTCTTCCTCACATTTTTATTTTGCTAGAAATCTTATAGCAAAATAATTGGTTAGTAATTTTATTTTGCTCCTAACAGCTGTGTTATACTTAGGGTACTTTCTGAGTTCTTGAATACCTAAAATTTACAGTATTTTTCCCCCTCATACCTAACTGATGCTTTAACAAAACAATGAAAAAATGATACCAAATAATGACATTACTTATATCAAAGAAGCACATTTGAACTTTTATTACTTCCACTAGAGGCCCAGTGCATGAAATTCATGCATGGTGGGGGAGGGATCCCCTCAGCCCAGCCTGCACCCTCTCCAATCTAGGACACCTCACTGCCAGCAGTCAGACATCCCTCTCACAATGCAGGACTGCTGGCTCCTAATTGCTCATCTGCCTGCCTGCCTGATTGCCCCTAACTCCCGCCCACCCCCCCCACCCCACCCCCCGCTAGCCTTATCACCCCTAACCACCTCTGCCTGCCAGCCAGGTCATCCCCAACTGATCCCCCTGCTGACCTGGTCACCCCCAACTGCCAACCCTTGCCAGCTTGGTCACCCCCAACTGCCCTCCTAGTGGCCTAGTTGCCCCCAACTGCCTCCCCTGCTGGCCTAGTTTCCACGTACAGCCTGCTGTTCAGTTGTTTGGTTGTCCCTCACTAACCCCCTGCCGGCAATGATCCAAAGTTAATAGAAGAACAAAGTAGTCATTCAATTACTCATTAATGACTACAGAAAAAAACTGTAATGATAAAAACACTAATGATGTCATTCCATAAAAAGATACAATTTATTTGTGTTTGAAATTCTTGCTTTGGAGTATGTTTGAAAAAACATACTGCTTCTCTACAAATAAGAGTTCTTTCCATACAAAATATAAATCACTATTTAATTTATACTCTAAATTATAAACATTAGATAAGAAAAACCACAGAGAAAAATAAATATTAAAATAAGACACTCCCAAATCCTTATTGATATCATTAACTACTTAGTAAATCCAAGAAATTAGCTTTAATGCTACAGAGCTTTGACATGTGTAGAATTAATGATATGATATCTACGAAAGCAGTAGTTAGTCAAAAGTCTAGAATACATTAATTTGTAACTGCTAAAGCACAAAGTTTTTAAAATATTCTTTTTGTTGATTTCAGAGGAAGGACAGAAACATCAATGTTGTGAGACAATCACTGATCAGCTGCCTCCTTCACTCCCCCTGTTGGGGATCAAGCCTGAAACCTGGCACGTGCCCCGACTGGGAATCATGACCTCCTCGTTCATAGGTCAATGTTCAACCATGGAGCCAAATCGGCCAGACTCACGTAATTTTTTTTTTTTAAGTGAATAGCAAGTGGCATGAGGAAGAGGGGAAAGCAGAGTGTGTGTATGTATATAGAGAGAATGATAAAGCAAATGCAGTGAAAAGTAAATAATCTGTGAATCTGTGGAGTTCTTTATACTATTGTTGCAACCTTTCAATAAGCATAAAATTATTTCTAATTTTTAAAAAAATCAAACTAGCAAATGGAAAGAAGTTTAAGAACTAAAATACATAAAAACTAAAATTAAGAACTGAATATGGCTAAGAATAGATTATATACTAGTGAAGACTAAATTCATGACTGTAACATATGTCAAAATAAAATAACCAGCTAAACTAAAGCACAGAGACAAAAGGATAGAAAGAGAATGTAAGATACATAGTTGATATACATAGGGTCAACCAAATGTACAGAAAAAAAAGAGAGAAAAAATTTAATTGAAAATTTAAAGAGGGAATAGATAATAGCTTTCATTTTTTTAAATATATTTTATTGATTTTTTTACAGAGAGGAAGGGAGAGAGATAGAGAGCTAGAAACGTCGATGAGAGAGAAACATCGACCAGCTGCCTCTTGCACACCCCTACCAGGGATGTGCCTGCAACCAATGTACATGCCCTTGACTGGAATCGAACCTGGGACCTTTCAGTCCGCAGACCGACGCTCTACCACTGAGCCAAACCAGTTTCGGCTAGATAATTGCTTTCAAAACTGTGAAACACATTAAGCCACAGATTCAAGATACTCTACATACATAAATAAATAGAAGACAAACAAGGATAGGTTTAAAAAAAATAAATAACACTCCTAGGCACATCAATATAAATCTAGAAAACTAAAAACATAGAGAAAAAGAGATAGATTGCCTTTAAAGAGGCAGAAATTAAGCTGACAGTTGACTTCTCACCAGAAATAATTCAAGAAGCCAATAGGCAATGAACAATATTTGAAAGAAATAAATTGCCAATCTAGAATTCTACTTTCAGCAAAAATATTCTGCAAGAAGTAAAGGAAAAATAACGGCATTTTCAGATAGACAAAATTAAAAAAAATTTGCCCAAGAAAATCCCAACTAAAGGAAATTATAAAGGGTATTTATTTTCCAGACAACAAGAAAGGTTATACCATCTAGAAAATGAGAGATGGAGGAAAGAATGAAAATCAATGAAAAGGTCAATACTGGTTAAATCTAAATAATAGTGGCCACATAAAACAACAATATTAATGTCTTGTGGAGTTTAAAATACATATCGGTGAAAAGAATCTAAAATTCTTTCATTGTCCAAGAAGAGGGCAAAAGTATTAATTGATATCAAACTGATTGATGCTTAAATCTTTAAGGTAACCACTGAAAGAATTATAATAGCATAAAATTTCCAAGTCTATAGGGGAAGATAGAAAATAATAAAAAATATTTTGACCAATTCAAAATAAAGCATGAAAGGGGGAGGGGGGAGCATAGAACAGGTAGGACAAGAAGAAAGCACATAGTAATATGTTATATTTAAACCTAAATATAACATTGGTTGAATTAGTACAGATAAACCAACATTACCCTTTAAAGACTTGTCTGAATGAATAAAAAAGGAAATTCAACTATAAGCTATTAACAGTATATGTTTCAAGTAAAAGAATGGAACAAATCATATCTTGCAAACACCAATCAAAAGAAAGTTGGGATAGTCATCCTAATATCAGACAAAATCAACTTTCAGACAAAAGGCAATATAAAAAATAAAGAGGGACATTTCATTATTATAAAGTAATCATTTCAACAGGAAGAGATAACAATTTCAAATTTCAATGGAAATAATAAGATAGCTTCCAAATGCATAAAGTAAAAGTGTCAGGAACTAGGAGAAACAGTTCCACAATCATAGTGTGAGATTTAATCACACCTTTCTCAATAAATATTTTTTTAAAATAAGTGAGCATATAAGTGAGGATATAAAATATTAACCAAATTGACCTACATTGCACCCAATAACTGCAGAATCCACATTATTTTCAGGTGCATCCATAACATTCACCAAATTTGATCATATGCTGAACTGTAAAGCAAATCTCAAAAAAATGTTTTTAAAAAATAACATAAGATAGTTTCTCTGATAACAGTACAGTCAAGCTATCTTAATAATAAGATAACCAGGAAGCTATCAACTGTTTAGAAATTAACAATTATCCTTTAAATATCTATGGGTCAAGAAGAAATCACAGGGGAGTTAAAAACAGTTTTAAATAAATGATAATGAATATACTACCAATGTAAACTTGTAAAATGCAGAAAAATAAGAAAATTGAAAATATTAAAAGAATATAATAAATATCTAAAACCCATTAACAGAAATCATTCAGTAGATTTTTCTTTACTATTTCTCCCAATAGGGAGAATTTAAGGTTTATTTTTATCATGAAAACCCAGGAACTACTTTGTTCTTTAAAAAAGATTTATAAACTTAATTTTAGTGACTGTAGAAATCTTCAATTTATATTTCACTTTCTATATAACCCTTTATAGACAGTTCCTATTTTTATATTCTCAATCCCCAGAGTGTCTAGGGCTAAAATAATTTCATAAGTTAATTCAAAAAGTAAGTTTAGCCAAAACCGGTTTGGCTCAGTGGACAGAGCATTGGTCTATGGACTGAAGGGTCCAGGTTCCAGTCAGGGGCATGTACTTTGGTTGTGGGCATATCCCCAGTAAGGGGGTGTGCAGGAGGCAGCTGGTCGATGCTTCTCTCTCATCGATGTTTCTGGCTCTCTATCCCTCTCCCTTCCACTCTGTAAAAAATCAATAAAATATATATTTTTTAAAAAGTAAATTTAGGTCTAGAATCTTTTTAATAAGTAGTGCACAGAAGTATTACTCTTTCACATATTAGAAGTAAATATTTCTCTTCACATACTTTTCTTTTACCTGACTGTTCCTGGTAAGTATTCAAGTGTTTCTACCTCTTAATAGAGTATAATAGCCTATAGGAATATAAACTTTCTTTTTTCCTAAATTAAATATGCCATTTAATAAACAAATAAAGTGTTGTAGTATTAGTTCAGATCCCTAATAAACTTGATTTTCTAAAATATCACACACAAAAAATGTAGCCTAGTCACTTACCACTTGATCTGTTTTTACGACTTGATTTCCCTCCAGTAAGAAGCATCTTGAGACTATTCCGAAACATGGTTGTGCTATTCTGGTACTCACAAAACTACAAAATAAAATGTGGGAAAATACGTTAGGAAACTTGATTTTCTATTCAAAATTCAGAATTCATTTTTCTATTTTGTTGTTTAAAGTATTACAAATAGTAGTACATGTTTCCTTTTTTTTCTCTTTGCATTGGCCTTCCCTGGCCCCCCCATCCCTCAGTACATGCTCTCACCCCACACCCCATTGGTTATGCTTATATTTTAAATGCACTATAAGGAATTAACTATGTTTAAAAACATAGTACAAAAATTATAACTAAATGGCAAAACATTTAATTAATATTAATTTAATGCATAAACATTTCTTCACAAGTATATTATAATACTTTGAGTACCCTAAGAGATAAAGGTAGCACCCTGGCCGGTGTGGCTCAGTTGGTTGAACTTTTGCCCCAGGCACCAGGAGGTAGCTTGTTCAACTGCCTGTCAGGGCACATGCCCAGGTACAGGCTCAATCTCCAGTAGAGATATGCAGGAGGTATCAAATCTATGTTTTTATCCCTCTCTCTGAAATCAATAAAAACATATTTTTAAAAAGAGAAAGATAAAGGTAGCTATCACTGAGTACGCAGAACAGAAACAGCAAACAGAATGAGGTAACTATAAATACAGTCTACCTTTTTCATTTGACTCTCCAATTTTCCCATATTTTCCAATTTTCCAACATAGACACCCAAAGGTTTAAGAGTCTAGAAACTTATAGCTGCTGATTTTCCATTGGTCAAGCCAGAATTCTACCTCACAAGACTACTGATATTCATGAATCAGTGCTTTTCCTCTTTATGTCTCACTCCTATTAAAAAAAAATAATAATAATAAAAAAATTCTTCCAGTTGTGCTTTGTCCTCTCTCATGTTCTCAAAGATTTTTATCCAAAAATAATCTTCCTTTTCTTTCTCAATTTTTTTCTCTGTACTGAGTCATTCCAATCATAACATAAACATGGTAGTAGGTCCTAACCAAATACAAACAAGCAAACAAACCCCTCTCTTTATTCCCACATGGTCCAATTACTGCTCCTATACCCTTGCTCTTCATAGCAAAATTTCCCCAAAGTGTTGTCAGTACTTGGTGTGGGATCGGGTCTAAACGGGCAGTCAGACATCGCTCTCACAATCCAGGACTGCTGGTTCCCAACTGCTCGCCTGCCTGCCTTCCTGATTGCCCCTCACAATCCAGGACTGCTGGCTCCCAACTGCTCGCCTGTCTGCCTTCCTGATTGCCCCTAACAGCTTCTGCCTGCCAGTCTGATCACCCCCTAACCATTCCCATGCCAGCCTGATTGATGTCTAACTGTTCCTCTACCAGCCTGTTTGCCCCCAACTTCCCTCCTCTGCCGGCCTGGCCACCGCTAACTGCCCTCCCCTACAGAGTTGATCACCCCCAACTGTCCTCCCTTGCAGACTTGGTACCTCTCAACTGCCCTCTCCTGTAGACCTAGTGCCTCCCAACTTCCTTCCCCTGCTGGCCATCTTGTGATGGCTATCTTGTGTCCACATAGGAGCAGGATCTTTGACCACATGGGGACAGCCATCTTGTGTGTTGGAGTGATGGTCAATCTGCATATTACTCTTTTATTAGATAGGATATGCACTCCACTAAAAGACTATTTGTAATAAAGCAATCATAGCAAAATATTAACAGTAGATTCTAACTAGTGGATATATACATGTGAACTAAAATTATGTTAAGTTTTCTATATGTTTTAAATTGTTTAAGTAATGTAAAAACACACTCCTACAATGAAAACTCTTGGCCCAGATGATTTCAACAATACATTTTACCAGAAATTAAGGAAGAAATAATATCAACCTTGCACAAACTGTTCCAAAGAGTAGAAAAATAGAGAACATTGCCAAATGTGTTTTCTAAAAAAAGCATAAGCTTGATAATAAGACAGCAAGGTCCAAAAAAGAAATATTACAGACTTCTCTGTTGACACAGATGCAAAAATCCTAAGTAAAATATTGGCAAAAATCATATCTATTAATATATTGATCAGAACTAAGTGGGGGTTTAATCCAGAAATGCAAAAATAATACATAAAAATCAATAACAAGAGAATCATCAATAGATGAAGCACATAAAATTTAACATTAATTTATGATTTTTTAAAAACTAGTACAAAATAAGAAATCAAAGAGAAGTTCCTGCATATTACAAAAGTGTATCTTTCAGCCGAGACTGGTTTAGCTCAGTGGATAGAGCGTAGGCCTGTGGACTGAAAGGTCCTGGGTTCGATTCCGGTCAAGAGCAAGTACCTTGGTTGTGGGCACATCCCCAGTGGGGGGTGTGCAAGAGGCAGCTGGTCAATGTTTCTCTCTCATCGACGTTTCTAACTCTCTATCCCTCTCAATTCCTCTCTGTGTAAAATCAATAAAAATATATTTAAAAAAAGGGGGGGGGTATCTTTCAGCAAAGCTCAGTGATTAAGCAGACCTACGAACCAGAAGTCACAGTTTGATTCCCACTCAGGGCATATACGCCAGGGTTGCGGGCCCAATCCCCAGTATGGGACATGCAGGAAGCAGCCAATCAATGATTCTCTCTCATCAATTGAAGTTTCTATGTCTCTCTCCCTCTCCCTTCTTTTGTGAAATCAATAACTATATATTAAAAAAGACAATTAATAATAGCAAACATCATACTTAAAAGTGAATGATTGAAAATATTTCCCAAGATTGAAGAATGTGACTTGCACTCAACATGGTCCTAGAAGTCTTAGGCAGTACAAAAAGGTAAGAACATAAAACAGAAAGTATAAAGAATGGAAAGAAAATATTAAAAAATGCCACTTTCACAGACAATATGATTTACTTGGAAAATCTAATTTATAAACTACTGGAATTAAGTGAATTTAGCAAGATCACAAGATATAATGTAAAACATAAAGACTAAGGTGAATACCATAAAATAACTTACCCTTTTTATTAGTAAAGACTAGTGGCCTGGTGCATGAAATTCATGTACAGAGTGGGAGGGGTTTCCCTCAGCCCAGCCTGCACCCTCTCCAATCGGGAACCACTTCTGGGATGTCTGACTGTCAGACATCCCTCTCACTGGCTCCTAACAACTCATTGGCCTGCCTGCCTGATCGCCCCTGCCTCTGCCTGCCTGCCTGATCACCCCTACCCACCTCTGCTTGCCTTCCTGATCGCCCCTAACTGCTCCCCTGCTGGCCTGATTGCCCCTAACTACCTCTGCCTCACTCCACACCCGGGACCCGGGCTTCCCTCCCCCTGACCATTCACAGGCACCCAGGACCTGGGCCAGCTTCACCCAGGCCAGCTGCAGTCACAGGAGACCGTGGGTGGGTGGCTTAGCCTAGGCTGCAGCTGCAAGCACCCGGGAGCACAGGCTGTGCGGCTTGTCCTTCTGGGCTTCAACTTAGCTGGTCCCTATTCCTCTCCCCAGTGTTGAGTGTCTGAGTTATAATGGCATGATGGCATGATGACTATTTGCATATTAGCTCTTTATTATATAGGATTTTAACTTGCCACAGTCTATCTTCAAGTGGATAATATACCACTTCACATCTTACATATAAACTTCACTATAACAAAATTTCATTTTCCCAGGCAATTTTGGCCTATTGTTGTCATGTATTTTTCTTTCACAGATGTTGTAAAAGTGACATTACATTATTATTTGTTTAAATAATTAATTACCTTTAAATATATTTAAGTAATAAGAAACTTCTATTATATTTTTTCCTATGCATTTACTGTCTTTGGTGTTTTCCATTTCTTGGCATAGATCGTTATTGTATCTGGTAAAATTTTATTTCTGCTTACAGGACTTCTTTTAACACTTCTTACACTATAAATCTGCTGGTCATAAATAAAATTCAATCTTTTATATAGGAAAAATATATTTTAATTATTTTGAAAAATAATTTCACTCAGTCTAGAATTATAAATTGAAAGGGTTTTCCCCCCTTGTGAGTACTTTAATGATGATACTCTATATTATCTTCTCCCTTACAATATTTCTGATGAGAAATATTTTGTAATCCTTATGTTTATACCTGTGTATAGTGTGTCTCTTTTCTTCTGACTACTTAAAAGATTTTTCTTTTCACCACTAGTGTTGAGCAATATGATTTTTATGTATCTTGATGCAGCTTTCTTTATGTCCTGTGCTTACTATTCACTGAGCTTCTTAGATCTGTGGGCTTATTTTTTTTTTTTTTTTTTACCATATTTTACTCAATTTGGAAATTTTTTAATCATTCTTTCTTCAGATGAATATATATATGTATATATAAGTTCAGGTCTCTAGAGGGGGCTGGGGAGGAAGAGGAGTGAACCAAACCCAAACCTCAGTAGGCAATTGAGTATGGGACGGCCGGCAGGGCCATCCCTGCAATGGCCAGTTCATGACCAGCTGGCTGGTTCCTGGGCTGGGTGGTTTCATGCATCTGCTCCGTGCTGCCTAGCAGTGCAGTGCACAATGGGGCTGTGCGTAGCTTACAAGGAAGGCATGACCTGGGGAGTCTGAGCCTTGATCCCGTGCAGTAACCAGATCCGTACATTGGGAATGTGGCCATTCTCTTCGAGTTGCCCCATTGTTGCTTCCCCGGAGCAGTCATGGTGCCTTCTTCCATCACAGTCCCCTAAGCTCGCAGCGATGAAGGTGTGCTGACAAAGGTTTGGATGAACAGAACATGGAAGACCTGTGGGTGACAGCAGGTGCTGGTGCTAGCTGGGGAGGGGGTCGTGTGGTTTTGCGTGAAGCGCTCAGTCACAGCTTTGAAAGCTTCTTTCTTAGTTTCTCAGAGAGCTCAATGGTAAGGAAATGCAGGTCTTGTCCTGCGTTGCTGTTTCCATGGGAAACTCGCTGTTCGGGGTATCAGAGGGGTTGGCCCCCAGTGTCTGTGGCGGGGAGACACCCTTCTCCCGTAACCTTTTTACAGGCTGGTTGCTGGATGCCCAGGAACTGCTCAGCAGATCTCTGGTTAGAAAGGGCAGGG